TTTCCAGAGTTCTCATTTTTTCCTTGACCAGGAGAATGCTACTTTGTGGGCTGGCAAAGTCCTCAGGAATTGTCTGAAAACAAGATCCCAGTAGCCTAAGGGCTCATCTAGTTCTGAACTTACAGAATTACTCTTTAATAATTAACGTAAATAAAAAAGTAAATGAAAGAAAAAGGGAGTTGGAAATATACATAGTATCAGTTAAACTAAAGAAAACATAGACAAAAAGATAGGGAGGTAGACTAAGGGCAAAGAAGTTTCCTGATGTTTTAAATAGAAGCTCTCTGTACTGCTAATGCTTCTACTCTYCACAAAAACCTCAAGAAATTTAGAGACCTGCTCAATTCTCAAACCACTGAATGTTACAAAGACTACTRTAATGATGCAACCTATGGACTCTATCGCCTGGTAAACACCAAACTCCCTTGGACTTGACAGAGGAGGAAGAAAGAGATGTTATTTATATAGTAATTACCAGTTTAATATATACTGAAATAACAATGAGCAAATACAGGTTAATATACACTCAACCATTCACTCTCAAATTACATAAACACTCTTTACTTGAGTAGATAGAAGGTATAATCTAGTTTTTGGAAATGCTTAGTGTTTAACGAAAAACACTTTTGCTTATATCATCTTGCTTAATACTATAAAAATCCTGTGAGTTAAGCATTTTGTCGATGAGAGAAGTTAAGAAGACTTACTTATAAAAACCCAGAGAGAAAGCAAAAGCAAATGTATATTTCCAAAAGCTTAAATTCACTAACCCCTCAACACATGCCACTCGGGGAGCATGCAGCGTGTGCATTTGTCACCCACTTGAGGATGTCTCTAATTAAAACAAAATCATACAAAAACACCATACTGGGTCTGTGGGGCTATTAGGATGTTGAAAACTTGAACTTTTACATTTCCTGAGTTGGCAAGACTAGGTGGTTGGGGGAACTGAGCTAAAATTTTATTTTAATGTTATCTCAAAACAGGTTTCTGCATTTTGAGTTCCTGGAAGATCAAAGAGGGAGATTCTTGAGGATTAAGGCCAAGGCAAACAGCTGACCTTTTTGGGCAGTTTGTAGCAACTGACTGTCAAGTGACAGCAGTCAGTTTCAAAGGTCACATATCTCTTATTAAGCATACCAGCCATAATTCCTGTTGGTTTAGAGATTTGTAGGGTAAGATTTAGAATACAAAATTATATTCAAAGTTGGAATAATATTTTAAATTGATATATAAGTTTAAAACAATATGCAATATGGTCTTCCAGAATTTATTTTTTTCACTGAATAGAGGAACTCTTAGGCATCAGAAATGCAAGGTGGCTAGACTAAAGAGCTACTATTTCTAATTGTTTAGGTTCCCCAGAGCAGGCTTTACAAGTGACAGACATAATTTCTCTGGTTTTTGTTATATAGAACATTAAGAATATTTGTTTCCTGACCATCCACATTGGATAATAATACAGAAAGTGAAGGTTCATTATTACCTCCTAATACTTGGTGAATAATAAATCCAGTATACTCTAAATGATTAGATCACAGAGAGTCTGTGATTCTGCCAAGCATTAACTTTAGGTTAATCTTTGATTATATCATGAAAACATTCTCACTGCTATCATTTGAGTGGGTCCCCTGCAAATTCATGTGTTGGAACCTTAATTATTTAGTATAGCAGTGTTGGAAGGCGGGGCTTGGTGGGAGGTGTTTGAGTGATAGGGACAGCACCCTCAAGAATGGATTAATGCTTTTTTTTTTCCCCCCACAGGAATGGGTTTTAGGTATCACAAAAGTCTGACCCTCTTTTTTCTTTTCTGAACATACTTGCTTGTCCTTCCTCCTTCTGCCATGTTATGAAAGCAACACAAGCCTTCACCAGCGACGGTGGCCCAATCTTGGATTTCCAGACTCCAGAACCATAAGCCAAAATAAACCTCTTTTCTGTATAAATTACCCAGTCTCAGATATTCTGTTATAACAATAGAAAACAGACCTAAGACTCTCATCATTAAAAAAATGCAATGCTTCCCAGTGGAACACTTAAAATAGGTAAAGCAAAATCAAGGTATTTGATAGGCTGTCTTTGAACAAACCATATATACTTTGAAGTTCCAAACTGAACTTCACAATCTCCACATAACTTCAATACAGTAATAACATTTAGAACTACGGATATTAGGGTGTCCAAAGCCTTCCCTATGCGTAAGCTCTGCAGTTACCAGTGGACTAACAGCAAAAGTTTCCCTAAAGAGCCATACAAGTTCCTATAAGCAAGACTCTCAGTTGTAGGCTGTCCAGCTTTCCCCACTTTGATGAATTATGGTCTTGACTTCCTTTTGCAGCCCAAACAGAAGTTGTACTACTGTTGGACTTCACAAGAAACAGCAATGTGAACATATTCTCTGCCCTTCAGCTCCAAATATTGTGCTCGAGCACCACATTGCCCTGAGCCTCCTGAACTAGGTAGATTCCAGTCACACTTTGATCCAGGTACAGGAAAAGGGTTAAGAGGAGAACCACCAGGCTTCACAGGACTGCTTTACATATTTGGGTTATAAAAGTGCTGATTTAACCTTATGAGTAGTCCTTAAAGCCCAGGGATGACCGTGTTTGAGCTAGTTTTGTTAGAATATTTGCACTGATCCATGAGACCCTGGAACTTAAAGAGGAAGCTGTTGTATCCTTTTGTCTCTTTTGTCTTTCCATATAAGCATATCTTCTGAGCAATGAATAGGCTTCCTGGGCACCAAAGCTTGTTATTTCAACAATCTTTTCCGTAACTCTCAAGATACGTTAATACGCCTTAAGTAGAAACATACCCTTATTTTTTAAAGTGCCTTGAGTTCATGGAGAATATATTTACATACATATGCTGATCTCAAATCTTAAAGGAAGGCATTTTTCCAATGGGAGAAACTGAGGTGTAGATGAGTTAAAATGACTGGCCTGAGATAAATGAAACTGGTTTTAGATCTTTGGACATCTGGGTCTATTCTTACTTGTCTAAACTGCAGAACCTTCAATGCTTAAATACGATCATTGTCTGGGACCTTGAAGATAGCGCTCAGCACCTAACAAAGTTGATATCCTGGGGCAGCAGGACAGTTGGGCATCTGCCCTGACAACTGATTGACCCTGAAYAGGTTATAATTTGATTTTGTAGAATCAAATTTCTTATCACCTATTGACAAGTTCAGCAGTATGGCAAAATCTTGGTTCAAGATAAGAGTAAAACAACCATTCTAAAAATAATCACCAAAACATGGGCAGAAGAATGCTGTGGGCTTCGGAGAAAGGCAGTGGCTCACTTCCTTCCGTACAGACCAGGCCCTTCCAACCACTTCTGTTTCTTGACACGACTAGTAACCAGGGAAGTTCTTTAACACTTCTCCTCCTTCTAGGCCCAGCCTACTACTTTGTTTTCCTAGTAAAATACMTCCTCCACTATCTTCAATATTAAAGATTCACTTTTCTGTGAGCATCAAGAGTCAGTGTGGAAACCTCCTACCTACTGAGTCCTTTCCTGGTTGAACTCTATGCCACCTGTTCACTGCCCTGCCACCTCACCCTTCCCCACGTCAACCTGTCTGACTCTAGCCCTGTATTTTCTTCAAACAGGTAGATCTCACAAAATTCTTATATATTTTTTTTGCTCTCCTATAGTGAAAACTCAAGGTGGAATGATGTTCCAGCCTCTGAAGATTTTCAGAAAGGCCAGTCACTTTGGACAGGTAACACGAGTATGTGTTGTATACTACTGATATGTAGGATGTGCATGCATTAGCACTCAGGAGCTAAGAGGGATGAATTCTAACAAGGTTGTGAACCCCTTAAACTCCCAAACATGACCAGAGCTTATAACTTTCCTTAAAATGCAATAGTATGTAATTCATTGTGCATTTGACCTCCAGTGTCTGGCACTGGGCCAGTCTGAGAATCAGTGCCTGGGTTTTCTCTTAGCCATGCTTGCTTGGCATGGCTAAGAACTTCTGTACCCAGCCTGTCATCCTGCAAGGGAAACATCCATGCTTCAGGATACTATACTCTATTGCCTGCCAAGTCTTTTCTGGGGTCAGTTCTGGGCAGCCAAGGGTTAATGTTACAGCCATAACTGCTGTGGGTCTCTGGATCCCTACCCCTTCCCTGCCGAAGCCTGGTAATATTACTACTCCTCACATGACTATTGTTATCTGGAAAGGGTCGCAATTGTGAATCTTTCTTTATAGGTACAAACAGGGTCAAAATGACATCAAAGATTTCCTCAGCTGTAAAGAAATAGAGGACTGGATTTTCCTAAATTGGAAAGATCTATTCACCCAACTTGGATGGGCTTTAGATGTATGCTATTCCACATGGTGGCTACTATCCCATGTGGCTATTGAGCATTTGAAATGAAGATAGTTCAAGATGAGATGAACTGTTAATGTAAAAGTGCATATCAGAGGCTTGAGACCAAGTACAATAAAATAATACAAAAAATCTCATAAACTTTTTGTACTGAGAACATATTAAAATGCTCACATTTCAGATAGATTGAGTTAATTAAAATATATAATTAGAATTAATGTTGCCTATGTCTTTTTGCTTTTTAAAATATTGTTTCTGGGAAGTTTAAAATCACTCGTGTGGCTTGCATTTGTGTTCCAGTGGCTCACATTTGATTTCTATTGGACAGCTCTGCTCCAGGCAAAACTCCGAACTTTGAAAGTTTATTTTTTATTGGTGCATTACAATTATATATAATACCAGGGGTTTGCTTTTAGAGAAAAGACGAATGTACTGAAGATTTGGTTTCAGGTATCCTTTTTAAAAATTAGACCCTTCTTGTGGACATCTCATCCATCAAACAGTCAGCTAGAACTCTGCAGGCTGGCTTATTACTTCTTCTCTGGGACAAAGTTGTGTAGGGTCCCCTGGGCTCTCACAGTCCTTTACTTATTTGATTTTATAGCCCAGTATTCATTTTCAATATCTCCAGATAATACAGAAAAGTGAAAAACTTACAGGTTTTGAGATGGTGAATCTGCTGCTGGAATGCACAGGTATTTAACTCCCTGTAAAATGATAAAATATAAATAAAAATGAAAATATTATAGTCAGTGTATAAAATATTTGAATAAACTATAGCTATTTACTCAGCCAAAAAATWAAAAAAAAATAAAAAGGAGAAGTTTTTCATTCATCTTTTGTTGCCAAGGAACTAGAGAAAAACTAATTAAAGTTCCTGGTTCTTTTCTGTGGTTTTGCTTATAAATATGGTCTAGTTTGCAAACAGCTTGTAGGTTTAGACAAAATTCAAAGGGTTTAAAAAAAGTGAAAACTGAGTACTTTTCAGTAAGTGTCAACAAGTTTCAAAATTATCATCTTACATACTAGTACACATATTCCACATTTCCTATATATGTCATTTAGGATCTTGAAAATCCAAAAAGGAAGCACTGTTAGTCAAAACTTTAGCACAATGGCTAAAAAGTGTAGTGTCATGTTATAGCTTTCTATGTTAATTTTAGTATCATGACAGCTACAATTTCGCCAATAGGAGTTTTAGATCCTTGAAATAATTTGCTTTATTTTGCTTGTTTTCCAGAACAGTAACTTTGGGTACCAAACTAACATTTTTCTTTAAAAATAATGGCCTATTTTGAAACAAACAAACTAACAGATTAAAAAAAACAAATGAACTTCAACCCTATAAAATAAAAAAAGAGTTTATGTAAATTTGTACTATAAAAATCATGATAAATTTGAGGTTTATCAAAAGCCAGTCTCACCTCTCTGTCAGAGGGATTACTGACGTGACAGTTCAAGAGGTCTTTAATATCGAGTAAAAATATAAAATATAAAAATCTCAGTAATTTTTGCAGAAGAATATGTCTAAAGAGTTAGATGAATCATTTTTAAACCCTCCTCTTGTAATTGCCTAATCTCACAGAATATTGTCATGCGTCTCAGAAAATAAGGGGAAAAACCAGAAATTAGAAAAATAACCAATAAAAGAGAATACACAAAGGACAGATATATAGAATGGCGATATAGGCAACCCCAAGTTCCTCAGAAGATTGGTAATTTTTCATTGAACTCTCTTAACTCCTATCATTAGGAATTTATGTGCTGTATTTACTAATAATAGTCTTAGAAGGAACAATTTGATCCATACTTTGCTAGTTCCTTACAGTATGACTTTTCCAATACAGGGTGGGGAATTCCGTTCCCTATCTCCCCTGATGCTTAGGATCAAGGCACACAATCAGTTTTCATTGATCTGACACACAGGAGATGGACTTGGAATTAGTGGGCTGCAGAGCTCATTGGGCTGCTGTGTGATAAGGTCTGGGATCCTTCTGGAACTTTAGTTTACAGCCTGTTTCTTCAGCTCTGCTGAGCATTCCTTAAGCTTTCAACCATTTCTTAATAAACCCCTTCCTGCTAAAACTGGCTCATATTGGAATCTGCCCTGAGAGATGCAACGCTTCCTATCTCCCACAATTAGGAGAGGTGAGAAAATAACTTTTTCCCTGCATAGTTTCTACATATGTTTTTTTCAGCTTTGAAGAAACAATCAAATAATTTAATCATGATTTGAAGATAAAAGCATTACCAATCATGTAGCCAATCATTATATATTCCAGTAAAGGCTTCCTGAGTTCTTGAAGAAGATGAATGTAACTGCTGCTTATCCAAATGGAAACATTTTATCTGAGATAAAATGGACTTTTAGCTTGCCAAAGGTCGTACTTAATGATCAGATGGCAGAAGAGGAAAGGGAAGCAGTACATTACCCCTCTCTGAGCTTTCATTTGTCACACTCCACACCCAGCCTCCTTCTGTCGCTGTCCTTATTTTTTCCTGGACTCTCTGGGGGCTGTGTTTTGCTGGGAATGTCTCACATTCTAAAGCCCCTCCAAACCTAGATAGGTATTATGCTGTGATGGAAGGGGCAAGACTATTAAAAAGGAAATGCTACTGAAAGAGAAAAAAAAAAGTCATTTCACTCCTTACTTCCATGGAGGCCAAACAAGTGTGTTGGTCTAGATATATACTCTGATCATTTTCTACAGCCACCATTGAAATGACTCACTGATTTTTTTTTTTTTTAAGTGAGAGTTGGCAGTTGGATCCAATCCAGGAGCTTGTGAAATTCATTCCTCCCACACACTTCCTCCGACCTCCATACTTCCAGAGGGACAAGAGGATTCTCAAGTGTCCACCTCCCCTGCTACTGCCATCTGCAGTCTCAGCAACTTCAACAGAGAAAGGGCTCCAAAAGAATGCCCTGTAATAATGAAAATGCCTGCCTGTCCCAAATGTCAACAAACAACCACCTCATTCAAGTAGAATCTACAATCAGTCCAGTTTTGTATTGCGAGGAAAGAAATAATGAAGGAAAGAAGAAACTGGACTGAGGTAGGTTAAATAGCTCTTGCCTATTAAGATCAGTTACTGTAAATGCCAACAGCAGGATGAGTAGAAAGCACTGTGCTTCTTTTAGGCACATTCCCTTAGCTGCTGCCTGGTATACCAAAGGACAAAACATTGGCCCCACAAAGCAGGAGAGCCCTGTCAGGGGGCAGGAGAATCTGCTAATCATAGGAAGATGACAAAAGGTATTATCCCTTGGGAGGCACAGAGGATGAGGAGGCAACTTTTGGCTGTGTTGGGCCCCTCACCTGCACAGCTGAGAAGAACAAGTTGACAGTTACAGCTTCCTATCTGTGCAACTCTGTTACAAAGTTTGGGGACCCGCTGCTGTTAAGGCAGGATGGAGAACATAAAACTAAAGATTGAGTTTTCTCCAAGACAGAATAACAAGAACAATAATAAACTTCCCTAGAATGATGCCTGCCACATAGGTGCTCACTAAAGGTCTGCTGAGTCCTGAGACCAAGGTGAAAATCAATTCCCACAAAGATCACACTATGTGAATAGTTCTAGGGAAGAAAATACTGTCAAATACCCATTCCTTAATCCCGGGATCACAGAAATGGAAAAGCTGGGTTTGGGGCCACACTAGGCAAGTAAAGGGCATGTTTTCTTTTCTTTTCTTTTTTGGTACTGGGGGTTGAACCCAGGGAGCTTAACCATAGCACCACATCCCCAACCCTTTTTATTTATATTTTTAAATTTTGAGACAGGGTCTTGCTAAGTTGCTGAGGCTAGCCTTGAATCTGTGATCCTCCTGCCTCAGTCTCCCAAATGCTGGGATTATAGGTTTGCAATACTGTGCTTGGCCAAAAGCATGTTTTCTATACACACACCAGTGACACTAGCCCACCTCCTGTGTACTCCAACGGGGATGTGAACCACTCACTGTGATCTACAATAAGTATGCAAATTCAGCCACAGAAGGAGTCAAACTGTCAAAAAGGTTCAGCTGCTTGCTGCCCAAGAACATCTATTTATCTTGGCTTAGTCATTAACAAAGCAACATCTCTTAAAGGCCACAGACTACAGAACTCAAGCTACCTAAAAAAGGCATCAGATGCCTGCACATGTGCACAATTAATGACTGTTAGTTACTAATTCAGAAAGCAGCACACGGACCCCAGGACCATAAAAAAGCTGGACTCATTTAAAATTACCCTGGTACTAATGAGTGCAGTTGCACAAAAGTTTTCATGTGATGTGGAACAGCTATTTTTCTAATATGACTTATACAAAGGACTGCTCCCTGGTGGTGATATTTGTAGAAAGACAATGAATAGGGGTAGGATATGTTTGGTTAAATCACAAAAATTATAGCAAACTCATGGATTAAAAAAATGTATACAAACTTTAGAACAATCTGAAAACATTGGAATAAAAATAGCAATGTTTCCAGGGGCATAGCATTTACTGCACAGTATTCATTTCCTTACATTACCTCTAAATATTTTTAAAAACATAAAAATGAAATTGGTTATCKTCTCCCTTGAAATTAAAATTGTAAATAAATAAAAACTCAGCACTTTCCATGAAGTTTCAAAAAAGTGAACTGGTAAAAGTCAACTAACATTAAATTTTATGGAACTATCAGATGTCTTTATGGCTTTTCAATGCACAAGGCTTGTTTTGTATTGCACTGAATACAAAAAACAAGTTCAGTTAATAGAAAGGGCCCTGTCAATGCTCTAAGACTGTCATGATTGCTGTGGTAGACAAAGAAAGAGCAGCTGTTAATTTCTTTGGACTACATGGCCTTTTGAGTGGCTTAACATTTCCAGAGAACTCCAGCAACACTGATGAGGTGGGCACTAGAGGGAGAAAAAGGGGGAACAATTTTAAAAAGTCGCTATCTACTTCAAGGTAACCTCATTTTGTACTGAATATTCATTATACCAAAACATCACATCAATCAGTATGAAAACACACAGGATAAAAAATTAGGAAAGCACTGAAAAGAAGTAAAAGGGTTAGGAGCTATTTGCCAAGGAAAGCTTTCTGGCGACATTTTTGTGTTTAGGGTTTTTAAAGACATAAYAGACATCACTGGGCTGAGAAGAAGTTCAGAAAGTATTCTAGAAGCTCTACGTGAACCAAAGATCAACGCTGTCCATGGCCACGTTCTTTAAAGCTTTAATATTTTTCAGTTTTCTGTTTCAGTGATTATAGTAACCACCAAAAGTAAAGTTCTGGCCCTTTCTTTGGGTCTGAAACTAAAGACTACACTTAAAACGATACATAGGAACAAACTTGAAAAGCAGGGCTGAGATTCTGATTGCAATACTAGAAAAGAGATCAAACTCTCGCTTGTTTCAAGTACAATTTCTAAAATTCACTGTTTCTCTCTTTATGAAACATCGTAAGAGTCTTTTGAAGAATTCAGTTGACATTCTACTTTCAAAAAGAAAATCCAGCCCTCCCCCAGGAAGGCTAATTAAAGCCAGCTATGGAGTAGATCTTTGTCTCATCATTTGTAGCAATGTGGATGGAACTGGCAGACAGTATACTGAATGAAGTAAGTCAGGGGCAAGAAAAGGCCTGCATGATCTTACACATGGAAGCAAAGAGTAGAATAATAGTTCCCAGAGCCTGGGAAAGATGTGGGGGAAGAGGTAATGGAGAAAGGATGATAAGG